GGACACCTGGGACACCCGTGACACCCCCAGGGTCACCGTGTCACCTGTGTCACCCCCCTGGGGTCTGCTGTCACCCGTGGGTCTCTGGGACACCTGGGACACCCGTGACACCCCCAGGGTCACCGTGTCACCTGTGTCACCCCCCTGGGGTCTGCTGTCACCCGTGGGTCTCTGGGACACCTGGGACACCCGTGACACCCCCAGGGTCACCGTGTCACCTGTGTCACCCCCCTGGGGTCTTTCTGTCACCCATGGGTCCCTGGGACACCTGGGACACCCTTGAGACCCCCGGGGTCCCCGTGTCACCCCCCGGCGTCCCCGTGTCACCTGGGTCACCCCCCTGGGGTCTTCTGTCACCCCCCTGGGGTCTTCCTGTCACCCATGGGTTCCTGTGTCACCTTGGACACCCGTGACACCCCCAGGGTCCCCCTGTCACCTGTGTCACCCCCCTGGGTTCTTTCTGTCACCCATGGGTCCCTGGGACACCTGGGACACCCTTGAGACCCCCGGGGTCCCCGTGTCACCCCCCCGGCGTCCCCGTGTCACCTGGGTCACCCCCCTGGGGTCTTCTGTCACCCCCCTGGGGTCTTCCTGTCACCCATGGGTTCCTGTGTCACCTTGGACACCCGTGACACCCCCAGGGTCCCCCTGTCACCTGTGTCACCCCCCTGGGGTCTTTCTGTCACCCATGGGTCCCTGGGACACCTGGGACACCCTTGAGACCCCCGGGGTCCCCGTGTCACCCCCCCGGCGTCCCCGTGTCACCTGGGTCACCCCCCTGGGGTCTTCTGTCACCCCCCTGGGGTCTTCCTGTCACCCGTGGGTTTCTGGGACACCTGGGACACCCGTGACACCCCCAGGGTCCCCGTGTCACCCCCAGGGTCCCCATGTCACCTGTGTCACCCCCCTGGGGTCTGCTGTCACCCGTGGGTCTCTGGGACACCTGGGACACCCGTGACACCCCCAGGGTCCCCGTGTCACCCCCAGGGTCCCCATGTCACCTGTGTCACCCCCCTGGGGTCTGCTGTCACCCGTGGGTCTCTGGGACACCTGGGACACCCGTGACACCCCCAGGGTCACCGTGTCACCTGTGTCACCCTCCCTGGGGTCTTCTGTCACCCGTGGGTTCCTGGGACACCTGGGACACCCCCAGGGTCCCCGTGACACCCATAGGGTCCCCGTGACACCCTCAACACCCATGGGGTCCCCAGGAACCACTGCCTTGTGATGCCCATGACACCTCCAGGGACATCTCGATGCCACCCAGACCCAACCTCCTGGCCCTGGTGACATCCGTGAGGTCTCCATGCCACCCAGGGCCACCATGGTGGTCCTGGTGACATCCGTGAGGTCCCTGTCACACCTAGGACCTCCATGTTGGTGACATCCACGGGGTCTCCAGGATCTCCGTGCTACTCCTGGTGCCATCCAAGAGGTCCCTAGGACATCTTGATGCCACCCAGTCCCATCATGGTGGTCTGTGAGGTCCCTGTGACACCCAGGACTTCCATGTTGGTGACATCCATGAGGTCCCTAGGACAGCTTGATGCCACCCAGTCCCATCATGGTGGTTCGTGAGGTCCCTGTCACACCCAGGATCTCCATGCTGTTGACATCCATGGGGTCTCCATGCCACGCATACCCACCATGGTGATCCTGGTACCATCCATGAGGTCCCCAGGACCTCTGTGCTGCTCCTGGTGCCATCCATGAGGTCCCTAGGACATCTTGATGCCACCCAGGCCCATCATGGTGGTTCGTGAGGTCCTTGTCACACCTAGGACCTCCATGCTGGTGCCATCCATGGGGTCTCCAAGACCTCTGTGCTGCTCCTAGTGCCATCTCAATGCCACCCAGGCCCACCATGGTGGTTCTGGTGCCATCCATGAGGTCCCCAGGACCTCCATGCTGCTCCTGGTGCCATCTCAATGCCACCCAGTCCCACCATGGTGCTCCTGGTGCCATCCATGAGGTCCCTATCACACCCCCAACCTCCATACTCCTTCCACCCCACCCAGCCCCACCACGCTCCTCCCTCTGCCACCCCCTCGATGACCCACATCCCCCATCTCACGTCCCTCAGACCAGCGGTGGGGCCGGAGAAGGACCCTCGGGAAGGCGGCGGTGGAGGAGGAGGAGGAGGAGGTGGAGGAGGAGGCCGAGAAGCTAAACCTCGATCTTTACGTTTCACCTGGAGCATGAAGACCACGAGCTCTTTGGAACCCGGGGAGATGTTGAGGGAGATCCGGAAGGTTCTGGACGCCAACAGTTGTCGTTGCGAACCCCAAGAAAGGTTCGTCCTTCTCTGCGCCCACGGAGCTCCCGGCCACGATTCCTTCGTCCAATGGGAGATGGAGGTTTGCAAACTCCCCAGGTTGTCCCTCAACGGCGTCCGCTTCAAACGCATCGCCGGCACCTCCATGGCCTTCAAGAACATCGCCTCCAAGGTGGCCAACGAGCTCAAGCTCTGAGCCACCAGGAGGGAGGGGTGGGGGAGGGGGTTTGGTGGGGTTTTTTTTGTGGGGCTGGGGGACACACACGGACGGGGACACACACACATGCAGCCCCCCAACCCCAGGCCATCACCTTCACGAGGTGGGGCCACCACCTTCACGGGGTGGAGCCACGTGGACCCAAGCGGGGGGACGATGGCGTGGATTCGATGGGGATGTTGGGGAGGGATGGGGGGTTGAGGCCCCGTGGGGCCTGAGGAGCGACCTTCTGGATGGACCTGGGACCTTCTGGATGGACCTGGGACCTTCTGGGGATGTCCTGGATGGAGCTTTGGGATGTTCTCAATGGACCTGGGACCTTCTGGGGATCTTCTGGATG